AATGATGAGAGAGAAACATGGATCAGCTGCCTCCTGCACACTCCCTACTGGGGATGTGCCCGCAACCAAGAATAGGATCTTGGGATTTCTTATTCTTGACCGGAATAGAATCTGGGACCCTTGAGTCCGCAGGCTGATGTTCTATCCACTGAGCCAAGCCTGGACACTTTTTTTTTTCCTTCAATGTAAAAGGGACACATGCTTGTAAAATGCAAACAAGTAATACAAAAATGTAGGTATTCACTACAAATAACCACTAACTAATAAACTGCTAACAGTTTGGTATGTAGCCTCATAGAGGGGACTGTCATGATCAGTTTTGCAGCATTGTGGGTAGTGGAGAGGACAAGAAGGGGATGAGAATGGAAGCAGGAAGGCTATTGGAGAGGTTTAGGTGAGAAGTGGAGGACCTGTTTGTTAGTGGCAGCTATGGGAGTAGAAAAGTAGGAAGGCTGGGATGAAAAGTTCAAGAAATATTTAGGAGAAAGATAGGATTCAGTGACTACTTGGATGAGTGGGGTGAAGGACACTCAAGAGAAGAGACCAGGATGGTAGTTGAGTTGATTTCCCAGGAGCTGGGACCAAATTGTAGGCTCAGTTGAGATGACATGAATAGAAAAATAGTTTACCAACTGCATAATGCCAGAGTGGAAAGTGTATCTTTTATTGTTTTTGTCTTTTATTTTTTATTTTATTTTGTATTTTTAAAATATATTTTATTGATTTTTTTTTTTACAGAGAGGAAGAGAGAGTTAGAAACATCAATGAGAGAGAATCATCGATCAGCTGCCTCTTGCACACCCCCCACTGGGGATGTGCCTGCAACCAAGGTACATGCCCTTGACCGGAATCGAACCTGGGACCTTTCAGTGCGCAGGCCGACGCTCTATCCACTGAGCCAAACCGGTTTCGGCATCATCTTTTATTTTTGCAGGCTTATTTACTGTAGAAGGGGAGGATGAAAGTAATTTAATTCTGTTTTGATAGATAAGAGCTATTTTATCATGACTTTTCTCTTACTAATTGTTTTTTCCTTTAATTAGTTAAGGATAGCATCTTCCTTTGAGAAGTTGCTTCTGTTTTGGTGTGTATATAAGCATTTGTTCTTGTATTTCACAAAATTCTTGTTGGAAATTTTTATTCTGAAGAATTGGGATTGAGGTGGGGTGAAGGAGGCATTTGGGCAAGTTATTGGCAGAGGTTCCTTGACTAAAGGCTGATTGGGCCTCTCAGAATGATCTTGCTTTCCCAGAGTTTTGCTGTTTCTCACCATTGGGAATAGGGCTATAGAATGCACATTGTGAAAACCCTGTTCTGTGTTATCTTTTCAATAATGCTGTTGGTATTGGCATAGACTGAGTTCTGGGACACAGTGAAGGACCTTCAGTTTCCAGGTAACTAAAGGATGATTGGTTAATGGCTGGGGGTTGTAGGACTAAGATACTCATTCCTGGGTGAGGAAGACATAGGTCACTAACACTAACCTCTTTTGTTTTCAAATAGGATTAAACATGAGTTTCCATATAGGTAAAAAATTCTGTATTTTTATTCCTATAAAAGGGAATTTTATACTTTTTTTGTTGTTGTTTGTTCTTTGCATTAAATATACCAAACAAATCTTCCCTGTTGGGACATTTTTTATTCTAATTAAAATGCTTTGTGCCTCTATTTATGGCACTTGTTTGGTTTTATGTTATATCCATTCATGGACCTCTTAGAGTAGGGGTGTCGAACTCAATCAGAGAAGGGGCCAAAATCTAAAATCCAGCCTAAATCACGGGCCGAATGGTTTACTGAACAGTCATAAACTGTCATTGTGATGGAAACGCAGCGGAGTGCAGTGATGACAGCGCAGTGCGGGCCACATTGCAAGGCCTGGCGGGACGGATTTGGCCCGCGGGCCTTGTGTTTGACACGTGTCTTAGAGAGTTGCCTGAACATATCTATGCTATCATCCTATAGAATAAGAGAGGAATATGCTAATTATCCCCTACACCTTGAGGCCTAACAACCAGCCACATGATGACCTGATATGCGGGAGTGTGGGGCAGCGAACTACAAAGCGGGTTGTGGAGAGCTACAGGAGGGGGCAGGGCAGCAAGCTATAGGGGTGTGGGGGGTGTTTGGAGGTTGGGGGGAGTGGGGGGGTGGGGGAGGGGATGAGGTACAGGAGGGCAGCAGTGACTGACTGGCTCACGAATTTGTGTGCAGGGTGCCTAGTAGTAATATACTTCTTTTGAGGTTTGAGAAGTTCTGGATAAGGACAGTACTAGCATTCAATTAATTTTCCCCCTAGAATGACTTTCTTGTTTAGACTCTGTTATTATTACTATTTTTATTAACCTCTTATGGATGTAGTTATTCATCTGAGATATCCTAAATATGTGTTGAGAAAAACATATTTTGTAAAACAATCATTTGAATTTGACTTTCTCAAGTGATATTGCACATGCTAAAGAAAAAAATATATACTGTCTTTGAATACTTAAAACCATTTATAATTGTTTGGTTTCTTACATATAGATAAGTGCCTGGTGTGTGCGATATTAATTTTATAGACTAGATGATATAGTGACTAAAAGTGCTCTAGAAGTAGACAGTCTGTGTTTGTATTGCAGGTCTGCTACCTCTGACTATGTGCATTTAGCCAAGTTTCTTCTTTTTAAATATGTTTTTATTGATTTTAGAGAGAGCAAGGCAGAGGGGTAAAGAGATAGACACATTGATGAGAGAAAAACATCGATTGGCTGCCTCCTGCCCGCCCCTACTGGGGATTGAGCCTGCAACCTTTGGTTCATGGACCGATGCTCAACCACTGGGCCACATTGGCTGGGCTATTTCTTTTTTATTTAAAAAATTGTTTATATATATTTTTATTGATTTCAGAGAGGAAAGGAGAGTGAGAGTGAGATAGAAACATCAATGATGAGAGAGAATCATTGACCGGCTGCCTTCTGCATGTCCCCTACTGGGGATTGAGCCTGCAACCCAGTCATGTGCTCTGACTGGAAATTGAACCATGACCTCTTAGTTCATAGGTTGATAATCAACCACTGAGCCATGCCAGCCAGATTGGGATCAAAAGTTTAAGCTTCTTGTATCTTAGTTTCTTCATTTGTAAAGTGAGGATAATAATAGTATCTATCTCAGAGTTATAAATGAATTAATACCTGTAGAGCTGTTAAAACTGTCTGGCCCATCACACATCCTATAAGCCTTTGCTGCCATTATTAATTTATTGGGTGGGCTCTTATGTCTTTGGTTTTTAGAAATACATGAAATATACAAAGTTATTTTGTCTCAGATCTTAGCGTAGAATGTCACAAGCATTGCCTTACAGGAGAGTACCTATAAGGTTGTTTTGGGAATTAAGAGAAGTTACATTTGAGATAGATAGTGCTGGGCAAATTGCTAAATTAGTAATATGACAAAACTATCTCTTGAGGACTGTGACCTTCTGGTTGTCGTTTAGTCCTGATGACTAATCTAGGCTCTTTTGGTAAACTCTGTCTTTTTGCTTTGCTTCTTTGAGCTTCCTTCCCTACACAGTAACCCAGATTCCTTAGCTTGACAATCTATTCCCTCTATTTTTAGTTAACTTTCAAATTGTTAATTTAAGTCAAATGCACTGATTTAAGTGTTTGCAAAATATAACATTCTGTGATTTTTAATACCTTATTTTATTTGCTACTCAGTATAAATCTGAGAGATGATGACGTTCTCATTAAACAACTTCTGGTTGTAATGGAAGGTTAAGAGAAATGCCTGATGTCACAAAGCTATTAGGTGATTTAGCTGGAACTTGAACTCAAGCCACCTGACTTCAGGGCCAGTGTATAATAGTATATTTCTTTATTGACATATCATCATGTTTTAAGATAATGCTTTGTTCCTTCTTTCCTAATTTGATTATATTTTCAAGGATTTCTAAATAGTACATAAATATTATCTGCCCCTCTCAAATTTTTAAAAAAATATATTTTATTGATTTTGTACAGAAAGGAAGGGAGAGAGATAGAGAGTTAGAAACATTGATGAGAGAGAGTGATCGATCAGCTGCCTCTTGCACACCCCCTACTGGGGATATGCCCGCAACCAAGGTACATGCCCTTGACCGGAATCGAACCCGGGACCCTTCAGTCCCCAAGCCAACGCTCTATCCATTGAGCCAAACCGGTCTTGGCCCCTCTCAAATTTAAAAACTACTAAAAATTATTTGATTTATTTTCTTACATACCAGCTGTATTTTGTAATCTTTTATTTTTGTCATCAGAAAAGGAAGAGGTGAAATTTGAGATCTAAATATTTTACCTGGTTAACTTTTACATGAATGTGTTCTGAAAAGCTTTCCAAGTTTCATACTTATATTTATTTTATAATATTGGGACAGAGTAGATTTCCCCCATATGTAGTATACCTTGCTTATTTCAATAGTATTGTCAGACTTAAATTAAATCTTGGCATTAGACTGTCTTTACAGTTCTATTTTTCCCTTCTTCCCTCTGCTTTTGTCCATTTCCAAGTCCATTTCTAATTGTTTTTCTCTTATATTCCCAACACTTTCTGGTCCTAAGAAAGAATGTACCTTGAGTTGTAGGTAACTTTCATTTTGTGAAGTATATTTTTCCATTTAATTTCTTTTATATTTCTCATATATGTATCACCTCCTTCAGATACTTTTAAAGATTAAATTGTTGCTTTCAGCATATATGAATTTATACATAGTTGGTCTGTTAGCATTTCTCATAGTGTAAATCACTTCTGTTGGTGAGAATATAAATTAGTTAGGGCTCAACTTTTTCCCATATAATTAGCTGCATAATATATAATGAACTCTGAAAATTATCAACATATTGTTGCTTTGCTCATCGTCAAAGCTAAAATCTGATTTCCTTGGCAGATATGTAGACTTGTGATAGTCATTTGGCATTTTATGTTTGGGCAGTGTAACTTTAAATCTACATAAACTTCTCTGCCTTTTGCCTCTGCTGTGTTCATAGATTCCAGGAGGGCTTCGTGTATGGACCTCAAGCGTTGGAGGTTGCAGACTTTTCAGCAGAAGGTAAAGCAGAGTGTTTGCCTTCTGGTGTCATTGTGTGTGTGTGCTGGGGTGGGTATGTGACAGGTGAGAACTTTTCACAAATGTCATCATAAAATAATTTAGAATGATTCATTAGGAATTCACTGTCACAAAAATTAAAACCAAGCTAATAATTGTATAATCTTATTCTGTATTACTAAATTCTATTAAAGAAAGGAACACTTTATCTCTGCTGTTAACTAAAGAGTAAGAGTGATTAAGAAACGATAATGTTAGTGTAACTTGTAGTAAATGCTATCTAACTTTCTCAGACCTAACTTCACTATGATTTCTTCCTGGGAAGTTGTCCAAGTTATTATTCATATGTGTATTCTTCCCTGCTGCTCCTTTTGCTGAAATATTGCTTCACAATATATAGAAAGACAGCTTAGCATATGACTCATTACTGGAGGATAGACATTCTTGCTATAGGTCCCATGTGCCAAAACTGTTAGTTTCCAATATGCTAATTATCTCTCTCTTCAGAACTTGTTAATATGCTCTTCTCTCAAGTTAGTTCTTGTTTCAGTAGAGAAACAAACACATCCCACATACTTGTAAAATATGTTTTTATAGAAACCTTCTTAATGAGTTACTTTTTAAGAAAATAATGTGATATAATACTTCTTTGGGTAATGTTTCTTTGATTTTTACAAAAAATAGAAATATTTTCCCATTTATGTGCCAAATAATATAGATAGTGCTTTCTGTGAATTTATGAAACCATTTATGAACTTCTTTCAGGTGATAACTGAATAGTGTTTTGTTTTTTTTTAAAAGATCTATAGCAGCTAACAAAGTTGTAATCTTAGACATAAAGTTAATAATGTGGCTAGTTAGATTCTGAATGGGAATTAGAGGAATGTTTTCTTATTTTTTCTGGAAATTATATGTATTTTGATATCAAGTAAATGGCTGTACATTTAAATGTGCACCTTATGTGAAATTAGGATAGTACATTTTTATTAAATTTCTACTATGTACAGGACCACTCCATTTTATTATCAACCCTGTTTCACTATTTCTTTTCTTTTCCTCCTATTAAGAGAAGCTACTTTATAAACTAGAGAGAATAGATGATTTTTAGGTATTTATTGAAGTTAGCTACAATTTTACCTCTTACTTACGCTGTTTCTCCTTTCTTTGACTTTTTTAAGTAGCCATTTTGAGGATATTTACCAATAATAGGTTGAAAGTAATTTCTTAAAAGGCCTTTTTATATTTCACTTTCAGGATAGTTGGTTGTTTTCACCACAGTTGAATTATTCAGTGTTATATTTGTTTAGCTAATATGAATATGGTGTATTTTGTTGCCAATTGAGAATATCAATTGATAATTCTAATCAATAGTATAATGATAGTATTAAGATGTATAAAGTACTGCCCATATTAAGGCATAGGAAGACTGCTCTCTGGGTCCTCATCTCCCTACTTCTATGAGAAAGATTGATGAAATGAATGGTTTAAAAATATTTTAAAAAACATAATGGACTTTATTTTTTAAAGCAGTTTTAGGTTTGAGTGGAAAATACAGAGTCCTTCCCCTCTCCCCACATCCCTATGATTAATATTTTGCTTTAGTGTGGCACATTTGCTACAATTGACGCGCTAATATTGCTACATTATTAATTAACTATGATCTATAGTTTACCTTAAGGTTCACTCTTAATGTTGCACTTGACAAATGTACAATGACATGTACCCACCATTACAACATCATACAGAATAGCTTTACTGCCCTAAACATACTCTGTGCTCCACCCATTCATCCCAGGCTCCCTCCTTCTGACAACCACTAATCTCTCTCTGTCTCTATAGTGTTTTTACAACTTTTCCACAATGTCATCATTGTAATCATATAGCCTTTTCAGATTAGCTTCTTTCATTTTGTAATTAGCATTTAAGGTTCCTCCAAGCCTTTTCATAGCTTGATTTCCCATTCCTTTTTAGCACTGAATAGCATTCCATGGTTATTATCCATTCATCTACTCAAGGATATCTTGGTTGTTCCAAGTTTTGGCAATTAATGAGTAAAGCTGCTATAAACATTTGTGTGCAGATTTTGTGTGGGTGTAAGTTTTTAGTTTATTTGGGTAAATACCAAGGAGTGTAATTGCTGGATTATATGGTAAGAGTATGTTTAGTTTTATAAGAAACTGTCAAACTTCCTTCCAAAGTGACTTACCTTTTTGCATTCGCACCAGCAATGAATGAGTTTTCTTATTGCTCCATATTCTTCTTAGCATTTGATGTTGGCAGTGTCCTGGATTGTGGCCATTCAAGTAGATGTGTATGGTGTCTCATTGTTGTTTAACTTGTGACCCTCTAATGACATGATGCTAAGTATCTTTTCATATGCATGCCATCTGCATGTCTTTAGTGAGATGTCTGTTCAGATCTTTTGCCCACTTATTTTGTTTTATTTTTCCGTCACCATTTCCCCCCCCCTCCCCCCCATTTTGTCCATTTTTAAATTGGGTCTTTTGTCTTATTGTTGAGTTTTAACAATATTAAATCAAGTATTTTGGATGCAGGTCTTTTAACAGATAAATGTTTTGCAAATATTTTCTCTCAATTTGTAGCTTATCTTTTTAGTCTCTTAGAAGTGTCTTTTGCAGAGATTCATTCTTTTATAAATTTTATTTTTCAATTACAGCTTACATTCAGTATTATTTTGCATTAGTTTCAGGCACACAGCACAGTGGCTAGGCAGTCATACACTCCACAACGTGTTCCCCCAACACTTCAGCACCCACCTGGCACCACTCATAGTCACTTCAATACCATTGACTATATTCCCTGTGTTGTACCTTATGTTCCTGTGACTATTTTGTAATTACCAATTTGTATTTCTTAATTCCTTCACTTTTTTTCACCCAGCTTTCCAACCCCTCTCCCCTCTAGCGACTATCAGTCTGTTCTCTGTGTCTATGAGTATGTTTCAATTTTGTTTGGGGTGAATTGCTCTGAAAATTTCAATTAAATCCATCAGTCCAGTGTGTCATTTAAGATTGCTATTTCCTTTTTGATCTGTCTGGAAGATCTATCCATTGATGTCAATGGAGTGTTAAAATCTCCTACTATGACTTTATTACTGTCCCTCTCTGCTTTTATGTTTATCAAGGTTGCGCTATATACTTAGGTGCTCCTATGTTGGATGCATAAATATTTATAAAAGTTATATCCTCTTGTTGGATTGATCCCTTTATCATTATGTAATGTTTTTTTTTTGTTTGTTTGTTTTTTTTGTCTATTATATCCTTTGTTGTAAAGTCTGTTTTGTCTGTCTATCCCATTACTGTGTGTGTGTCTTTCATTCTTCAGTGGGTCTCTTGTAGATAGCATATATATGGGTATTGTTTTCCATTTAGCAATCCTATGTTCCCCCTTCCCCCCTCTTTAATCTGCATCCGAGGATGTTTCTACTGATGTTTTAGAGAGAGAGGAAATTGGGGAGGGGGGGAGAGAGGGGGGAGGAAAGAGAGAGAAAGAGAGAGAGAGAGAGAGAGAGAGAGAGAGAGAGAGAGAGAGAGAGAGAGAGAGAAACATCCATTGGTTGACTCTAGCACATGCCCTGACCAGGGATTGAACCCACAACCCAGGATGTGCCCTGACCAGGAATTGAACCTTCAACCTTTTTTTTTTTTTTTTTAAATATATTTTATTGATTTTTTACAGAGAGGAAGGGAGAGGGATAGAGAGTTAGAAACATCGATGAGAGAGAGTCATCGATTAGCTGCCTCTTGCACGCCCCTTACTGGGGACGTACCCGCAACCAAGGTACATGCCCTTGACCAGAATCGAACCCGGGACCCTTCATTCCGCAGGCCGACGCTCTATCCACTGAGCCAAACAGGTTTGGACGAACCTTTAACCTTTTGGTGCACTGAATAACATTCCAACCAACTGAGCCACCATGTCTTTTGATTGGAACATTTAATTCACTTACCTTTATTTATATAGTATATTATTTATGTGTATATATATATATAAATATATATACTTATTTTTATATATTATTCATATATATTAATTCATTTACACACACACACACACATATTTATTGATTTGAGAGAGGAAGAGGGAGGGAGAGACAGTAACATCAATGATGAGAGAGAATCATCAGTTGGCCGCTTTCCACAAGCCTCCCCCCACTGGGAATTGAGCTTGTATCCTGACCAGGAATCAGACCATAATCTCCGGTTCATATATCACTGCTCAACCATCGAGCTACACCGGCCAAGCTAATTCATTTACCTTTAAAGTGATTATTGATAGGTGTATATTACATTTACTGTTATTATATTTCTTATAATGATGCCTTCTTTTTACTTTTTTTTCTTCTTAAAGAAGTCTCTTTTAACATTTTTTGTAATACTGGTTTGGTGGTATTTCTTGCCTGGGAAGTTGTCTGCTTCCCCTTCAATTTTTGTTTTTCCTCTTTCAGTTTTAAATGATAGCCTTTCTGGGTCTCATCTTAGTTGTAGCTCCTTGCTTTTTATCCCTTTGAATATTTTATGCCAATCCCTTCTTTCCTGAAATGTTTTTGTTGAGAAATCAGCTGGCAGTCTTACCGGAGCTTCCTTGTAGGTAACTGTTTTTCGGTTGCTGCTTTTAAGATTCTCTTTTTGTCTTTAACCTTTGCCATCTTAATTATGATGTGTCTTGCTCTCTATGTTTCCTGTTCTTGTGTGTCTTTTTCCTTGACAAGTGTAAGGAAGTTTTTAGTCATTATTTCTTCAAATAGGTTCTCAGTTCCTTACTCCCTTCCTTCCCCTTTAGATACCCTAGTGATGCAGATGTTATGCTTGATGTTGTCCCAGAGATCCTTGAAATTATTCTTATTTCTTCTTTTAACATTTTTTTTTTCTCTGATAGCATTTTCTGTTACTCTGTCTTCAAAATTGCTGATTTGATCCTCTGCTTCATCTAACCTGTTGTTGATTCCTTCTAATGTGTTCTTCTTTATATATATATACTGG